ATTTTACAAGTTCGTAATCTATAAATCAATTCACAACATCTTAACGTGCTGGGAGTGTGTTTCGTTTGTTCTGCTAATATCAGTCTTACGAATCCCTGTATCGAATGCCAAGGTCAGTGTGATCGACAATATCATATAGAATATGTTAAATTACCGTCCACTATCGGCGATTTGCCACCAGACTCCGGCCTTGCCTGCAAATGCAAAAAATGCACGCTCTCTACCGCGGACACCGCAAAACTTCTCAGGGAACTGGTCGATAAGATCAATAAAGTGATAACTGACGTGGCTGCCTCAAGGTCCGTACAGACGGGTTTCACTGAATCTGTTTTCTTTTTTTTTTTCAACAGTCAACATCTTTGGCGTTAAAGATTGAAATTAAAGCACTACATCAGGAGAATTGCAAACAGAATGTGGTAGCCCTGAAAAAAAGACTGAATAAGGGGTCGCGAGCTGGCAGTTATCCTTGAAACATAGTGGTAAAATTTACCAAGAAAGAATTATCCAAGAAAAATGAGTTGTTGAATACTGCTAAGTTAAACAGAAATTGTGGCTTAAACACTATTGATATCGGATTTGAACAGGAGACAATTTTTTTTTCAATGAGCATCTTTCTCCATATTATAAGCAGCAACACAACAAAGGACGAGATTTTTGTAAAAGATCTACTTTTAAGCATTCTTGAATTAAAGAAATGAAGATCTTTATAAAAAAGGAAGACACTAGTAGAGCTATTCATATCTCTAATGAATACGTACTGTCTTTTCTTGAACAATCTGCTTTTCTCGCTGTGAGGTATTTTTTGAAGGTAATATTTTGGCTTCCGATGGCTCCAATGACAGAATTTTCAGTTTACTTACAAAACACTAGAAGGCTTAGGACAAAAACAGTACATCTCTTTCAGTCTATGTGTAGTATCGGGTATGACTGTGTTTCAACAACAGAGTTTTGATTAAGACATAATATTCAAGATTGGGAGCAGTTTCCTCCAGGCTATTATGTTTTTAGACTGAATCGTAATGCTTCTCTTAGTGGAAAAACTGATGGTGGTGGGGTATTGATGGCGGTTCGTGAGGATTACTATGCCGAAATTGTGGCTAAATTGTGTTCTTACAACAATATTATTGAAGGCTTATGGGTTAGTGTCAATTTGAATAGCGGTAGAAAATTGTTATTTTGCACTGTATATGCCCCACCTCATACATCGCCTAATAATAAGAATAATCCATATTAATAATATTCCATATTAAATAATAAAAGCAACACCGACTTACTAATAGTAAAAGATTTTAATTTATCGAATTTAACTTGGTCGAGAGACCCAAGTTGCAACAATCTGTTGACTAGTAATGCCTCTGATCCGCTGAGTAAATGTTTTTCTGATTTTTTTCCCTGGTTCTCTAAAGACGAAGGTAATTCCATCCATCGCTAGAAATAATTATTAATTGGAGCTGCGCAAAAAAAAAGATTGTTTGTAATTCTTACGAAAAATTAAATTTTCCTAAAGCCAATTACGCAATAATTAATGATGAAATTCGTTCTATTATGTGGAATGCTTTATTGATATCCAGTGATGTTGATCGTAACCTAACTGTCAAAAATTGTAGATACACATATACCAAAAATCATTATAAAAAACTTATGGTTTTTCGAGGCACATTATTGTATTGATGAAAAGCAAGTAACGAGCGCACAGGGACAGGAAAAATAGAGGACAAATAGTTTATGAAGTTTTTTTGAATTTAAGAAAGACCGGCAAAATTAATATTAGTAAAGATTACAAAGCGAAAATTGCTGTAACAGAACAAAATATTCAGCGCCATACAAAATATTTCTGGTCGTTTAAGTGCACCAAAAAAAAACACAAAAAGTTTGACAACAAAGAATGATCGTAAACACCTCGCATGCTTCGAACAACCTCGGTACCTGTGAACTTTTCTCACGCTTCTTTAGTAGTGTCTTAGATAAAACCAATTCCATCACAAGAATGTCGATCATATATCGAAGGAAAATGTAAAAAAATCTTTATGCTCTGTTAATCCCCAAAAGGGACCTGGGCCCGATGGTTTTCCCTAGATATTTTTAAAATCATACCCCGATCTTTGTGGGCCCCTCTTTTTGCTATACAATGAATCCATCTTAACTGGTAAATATCCTGGACTTTGGAATAAGACTTTGGGATAAGAGTAATGTAGCTAACTACAGACCGATCTCTCTCTTAAGCCACTTCGGCAAATTGTTTGAGTCACTTTTTTGGAGCAAGGGGCGTATTGACCCGAATCAGCCAGGATTTTTTCATAAAAGATCAATCTTAACTAATTTGGTTAGTTTGTTCAGTCAGTGAGTGACAATATGGAGCAAGGGTTCGAGACAGATACCGTTACACCGATTTCTCCAAAGTTATTGATAAAATAAATCACCCAACTCTTGGCGTGAAACTGGTGTGCACGGTGTTTTACTCGCCCTCCTTAAGAGTTACTTGTGCGGGAGATCTCAGTTTGTTTTTGAAAATGGGATAAAATCAAAGGGTACAAATATAAGTTCGGGAATACCTCAAGGGTCTTTTATTGTTTTCTATTTTCCTATATAATTTGGACCAGTGCTTTTTACATAGTACTTACTCCTTGTATGCAGACGATCTAAAAATTTCAAATTTGGTTCACTCGGCTGCAGATTACGTATTGTTGCATAGAGATTTGTCATATTTTGAAGAATATTGTTAACCCTGAGAAATGTTACTGTATTTTGTTTACAAAAAATTACCACAATTGCAAATTAAAAATTAAACGTTTCGGATTTTGCAAAGGATCTGGGTATTACATTGAATTCGGGGCTTTTTTTAAGATGCACCTAGAAAACATTGTTCAAAAGGCTCTAAAGAATTTTGGATTTATTCTACGGACGAATAATGGGTTTCTATTGTCTTTGGAAAATAGTAGAACAGATTTACTATTTTTTTATAAAGTTGGAGACAATTTGATTGAATTTCCTTTCGTTTTGGAAAAAACATACTTTAATTGTAATCTCTACATTCTTCGAAACAGCGAAACGTTCGCTGTATCTACATGTCCTTCAAAGTATTCTTCTAACTCTCCAACTATCAAGGTGCACCCGTACTTTTAACAGGGTAGAGAACGCGTTTCCGGATCTTGGTCTATTTGTTCTGACCTTTAAAGCCTTTAAACTACACCTTTTTTCCCTAATAATCTGCGATAATATCACATTTTAAATACTAGAAACAAAATTGTGGATCTAGTCATATCTGGTTCTCTAAAGACGAAGGTAATTCCATCTATCGCTAGATATCCTTCAAAATTTCTTCTAACTCGCCAACTATCAAGGTGCACCCGTACTTTTAACAGGGTAGAGAACGCGTTTCCGGATCTTGGTCTATTTGCTCTGACCTTTAAAGCCTTTAAACTACACTTTTTTCCCTAATAATCTGCGATAATATCACATTTTAAATACTAGAAACAAAATTGTGGATCTAGTCATACCTGGTTCCTTAAAGACGAAGGTAATTCCATGTATCGCTAGATATCCTTCAAACTATTCTTCTAACTCTCCAACTATCAAGGTGCATCCGTACTTTTAACAGGGTAGAGAACGCGTTTCCGGATCTTGATCTATTTGCTCTGACGTTTGCAGCCTTTAAACTACACTTTTTTTCCCTAATAATCTGCGATAATATCACATTTTAAATACTAGAAACAAAATTGTGGATCTAGTCATACCTGGTTCTCTAAAGACGAAGGTAATTCCATGTTTCGCTAGATATCCTTCAAACTATTCTTCTAACTCTCCAACTATCAAGGTGCACCCGTACTTTTAACAGGGTAGAGAACGCGTTTCCGGATCTTGGTCTATTTGCTCTGACCTTCAAAGCCTTTAACCTACACTTTTTTTCCCTAATAATCTGCGATAATATCACATTTTAAATACTAGAAACAAAATTGTGGATCTAGTCATATCTGGTTCTCTAAAGACGAAGGTAATTCCATCTATCGCTAGATATCCTTCAAACTATTCTTCTAACTCTCCAACTATCAAGGTGCACCCGTACTTTTAACAGGGTAGAGAACGCGTTCCCGGATCTTGATATATTTGCTCGGACCTTTGAACTACACTTAGACGGTGTACCAATTTAACACACTCTAATAAAAAGCTGTAATTAGTTCTTAATTATTAGATTTAGCTGGTAAAAAATAATTTAAACTAGTATAAGTATTTCTTGTTTGTGACATTTTGTGCTTTTCTTTTAGTGGACAGCTGTGTCTGTCTGTAGGAAAGACATTAATAAAAATAAATGAATAAATAAATAAATAAAGACTAATATGGCATTTCTTCTATATTTTTTTTGAAAAACTGTGTTTGCTAGTTAATTATAGATATAGATAGGTATAAGTTCAAATAAACGACATTTTCTAACGGTTATTGTTCCTCCTTGTAAGATTAGAGATTAAATTGTACATGATGCTTTTTCATAATTGTCACACCTGCCCTCTGCATTTCTTAGGCCTTAAGTTTTCAGGTTAAGAAGGTCAGGGATACGTCAATGAACTGAACGTCACCTTTTTCTGAATTGATTTGCTTTAGTTTATCATTGACTTATTGATTATTGGAAACAAAGACCTTCATTATTATTATTGTTATGTAAGTAAGTTTTATAGTAATATAGGCTCTTCTCTCACATCTTCAAGTTTTGTAGCAACGTCTAGGAACATTTTATATACACTTCTGTAAAAGTAGGCATGAAAGTCGAGCGAAGTTTTATAATATCAGCGTATGACTTTAGAAACAAAGGGTTTATTTGACACCTTGACAGGTCGTAAACTATTAACCGCTTTCAATAATTTGTATTTACCCTTTGCAAATACGAGTTCGTGTATAAAAGCCTTGTTTGCCGCCGGCACTCATTATTACTGGTCGCGCGAAACAACGACGTGTTAGGATATGGAAAAAGAAAACTACATGTAATTAGAAAGACTTTATTTCCAGGAAAGCGATCGATTCTTCTTTAGAAAAGCTATTAACAGGTGGAGGCGTCTAGTCCGGTGTTTAGCGAATAGTTGCGGTACATACCAGCTTTCGCCAAAGTGGCACTGAATTCTTGGGTTTTTGGAAAAAAAGAAGTAGGCACCGTGTGAATGGTGGGAGGGTACCTACAATAAACGATTTAGTGTCGTTCAGGCTACCCCAAAAAAAGCGCTTTCTATAAATTTCACAGAGCATAAATTTACAGAATCTCATCTAATCAGAGATTGAACATATATTTCACTAAATAATTATAAGTACGGGGTATTTATTTAGTTACAAAGTTGCGCTACTCAACAAGCATCTCAAATTACATTATTACACTGTTGTTCAAAATTATGGCACATTCTCGGACTTATTTTGATTATCTAAAGAATATCCCCCAAACGTTGGCATTTAAAGAGAGAAATCTTGGTTCTCATTATAGATTAAGCATTGATGAATGCGTAAGAGGTGTGAATCACTTTACAATGGTTAGAAGATTTATGAAAATCGGAATACACCACGGAAAATCTGGTCAGCTCAGGAAAAGTCAAGAAGAGCACTAGTAGAGAGTTTAGTAATCAGCTCCAAGCTGCTAGGAATATTATGATTTCTGCAGTAGAAGATTAAAACAAACAAGGGATTCTGCTGCATCGCTTCTCCACCGATCATGGATCATAGATCACAATAGAGTCATTTGGTGGTGGATCAAAATTGTTCTGGGCGAGACACAGAGGTGCTTAGTATTCTATTCAATCTTGAACACTTGTTTAGAATCACCTAATGTGTTTTGCACTATCTACAGCACTATTTTTGATTTTTGAATGTTTCGATTACATCCTATAAGGTTTTTAACTTTGACCTTAGTTAAAATCCCTACAGTTTCGACAAAAAAAAATCCTATCGTAGTGATTAAATCTTCGGTATAAGATACAAACTAAAATTTTGAATAAACATTATACCCAGGCTCTCAAATTTTGTCAGTAGCGAAGAAACAAGAACAACACTAAAAGTAAGTAAATTCGATGAAATTCTGCGCAAGAGTGCACGAGACAATATTAGCTATATTTATCTGGATTTAAAGGCAAGTTATTCTCAATACACCATCTATTTAAAATAGTAAGTGTCTTTTGAAGCTTATCACTCTGAGGCTCTAACGTTACGTCTTACTCATCCAGAATATTAATATTAATGAAACAGTTAAATAGCAGTGATACCGGTATTGAGCCTTAGATAAGGATTGTCTCTGAGAATCTTACATATTGTTTCCTGTCTGTAAACATTTATCTAATTGCCTTGTACAAATGAACGTGTTTTTTTATTCTAGTCACTAGATTAAAGTAAACTTTTTCAGATTGAGGAATATGGGTCCTGGAAAAATTCCTAGGAAAAGATTGATTATTGAATTAAATTACGAGTATATTTTAAGGTAGCACCACATATGGGAAATATTATTATTTGTAAGAAAACAAGAAAATTCTTTACTACGCAAATTTAGAATATTTCCCTAAAATGCCGTTCGAAACACTTATTTCGACGGTTTCGCGTCAAGCGACGTGGAAATTGACTTTTATAATGTCGGAGATGCAGGAGCGAGAACACATTTTCCGACAGCTTATAAATAAAAATCTAATATGGGAATTCTCATAAAAATACGAGGTGTATTCAAAAAGTAAGGTCACGTTTGTAATTGGGCGGGCTAAGTACATTTGATCTTCGATATTTTTTTTGTTATGTTGGTACACGTGTCCTTAACATTTGTTCACAGTTTCAGCCAGTTTGCAGGGTCACTTTTTTTGTGAGACAGAAACGTTTGACATGGATCAAAGAATTTGCGAAAAATTTTGTGTAAAAAACAAAATACAGTGCTGCAAAACTACTTTGAGAAAAAAAAATATTTATAAGTGGTACAGGCTGTTCCAAGATGGCCAAGAAAACGCAGACGACAAGCCTCGCTCTGCACGTCCCAGCACGTCGACAACTGATGAAAGCGTTGAAGAAGTGGAACAAATGGTGCTGAATCTCGCAAAATCACTAGAGAGAAGTTTTGGGCATGAAACGTGTAGCAGCAAAATTTGAGCATCGCTTAAGATCTGTTAAACGGCGTCAAAGATGATCCTAATATGCTCAAGAAGGTGAGAACTGGTGACGAATCATCAAAACCCAGTCATCCCAATGGAAGAACTCAGAATCGCCAAGTCCGAGAAAAACACATCTAGTTAAGAGTTTCTACCACAAAGTCATACGGTTGGTTAATAAAGAGTATTACCTAGAAGTTATGCGCCGTTTGCGACAATCAATACGAAAAAAACGTCCGGAATTGTGGGAAAACAATCTATGAATTTGGCATAACAATAATACACCTACTCACTCATCGTTTCTTTTTGGCCATTAATAAAACCACAATCATGCCTCAGCGACCATATTCACCGGGTATGGCCAGCTAGAGGTTTGGAACGATATAGGAGATAGAGAAAAATCGCTGCATGAACTCAAGGCTATACCAGAAAGTGCTTACCAGAAGTGCTTCGAGGAATGGAAAAAAAAGTTACATTTATTTCAATAAATAAATACTTTTTGATAAAACTTAAAAGTCACATTAAGTTTTCAACACGCGGAATTTATGAAATTTATGAGTTTATTTCTACTTCAAAACGGGAAAGAAGAAAAGCAACGGGAACTCTGCTTAGCTTTTGTCATATAATTTGAAAACAAACTAAAAAAACTGTAAACTTCTCGAAGAATTACACCATATGTTAAATTTAAGGATAGAACTCGCCAAATGTATTATGCCAGGATATACATATGCATATTTCATTAATTCATTACTAATTGACGATAATTGAAAAACAAGAATGAAGTTTGATCAATACCTTAACTGTTCTACAACCGTTGTTATTTCTAAAAATACAAATTAAATTGCCGGTTAAAGTAAAGTCGCTCAATAATTCAAATGTTTTCGAGAAACATATAATTATCTGATAGACAGATACTTTTATAACCTTTATTTATTCTGCGTAGTAATTAAATAGCAACATTGTACGGACGAACTAAATAAAAACATAATTTTGGTTGGGGCATTGCTAAGTTAGTCTTTAAAATAATAATTAACATCAGCAATTAATATTGAAACCATTGATGCTAAGTATAAAACTTTTTTTTTCCATTCTTCTAATAAAAAATAAAATTACAAGAATTGAATTTATAGTAATAATATTAATATTAATAATAATAATAATAATAATAATAATAATAATAGCACTTTATTTCCAACAGGTAACCCAATTACAGAAAATATTAAATATAAATCATCCAATATGTATACCAGGGGACTAATCTAAAAAAAAAAGATGGAAAGAAGGAGAAAGAAAAGGATAAGCCTTATTAGTACGGATAACCAAGCGCCAATCGAAGTTGCCGAAGTATGACCTGGAGACCATCATAATATAAATCGCAGTGCGATGATAGTTTGTTGAAGGTAACACACATATTGTAAATAGGGTTTTGAAAATGGCTATTGGGCCTGCGTAACTGCTGCATATGAAAATGTAATTGTTCCAGAAGAAACGGGCAATAGACTCTGTTATGAACTAATTTATAGAGAAATGAAACAGATTGCAAATCTCTGCACAGCCTCAGAGGTAGTACAGCGAATCTTCTCCCCTCCCCTCTCAGGATAATAACCGTCCTCCTTGAACATTAGATACTTTAGTAATCTTCTCTCCACACTCTCAATGGACTGAGTCTTACAATTACATATCAGTTACCATACCAGCGAGCCATTTTAGTAATGTGAGGTATAAAAAAGAACGTCTGGTCAAATAAAGTCCCCAGATTCTTCACAGTGGCAAGTCTAGTCAGGATAGAACCAACCATATTATAAGTAAAGACTATAGGAGTCTTTGTCAGGTGGTAAGAAACTACATTACACTTGCTGATGTTAAGATGCCATTTATTTTTAGTACACCACTGACTGAAAATATTGATGTTGTCCTGGAGAGTCATGCGTGCCGGTTTCAATACATTCATATAGTTTTAGGTCATCCGCCAAGGCAAGCTTGTCGCAGACCATCAAAGATATGAGATCGTCTATAAATATATTGAACAGAAGTGGTCCAAGATTGGAACCTTGAGGCACATTAGAAGTTGGAACAAAAGGAAGTGACCTAAACCCCTCAATCTCAACGATCTGTCGACGGTTCACCAAATGGAACCTCAACATTCGAATCGGAGAACCAAATTTTTGAGATGATTTTTCAATCAGTAAGTGATCATCTATCTGGCCAAACGGCAATAATGTATATATAGAGTGCTGCAAAAAAAATATTTTTTTTAGCTCTTACACTCTCAAATGTTTCTTTTTGATATAAAAAAAATCCTCACCAAAGATTAGCCCTGTAGTTCAAATCTAAGAGGTCGCTATTTTTATTTTAGTTTCCCATTTAATTAACATTGGAAAAATTCTTTTTTCACTAAAATTTAATTTAAACAATTTGTATTGTTAAAGTTGAGTCTTTAAGCTTTCCAAAACTGTATAACAAAGTATAATGTATGAAAATATGGTTGATAGACAGGAATACCAGTAGTTTTCCCAATTTTCATAACATCACGAATAACTTCATCAAAACACTGTCGAATTGTGAGGTTAGAATCTGTATGCTTGTAGAAAAATAATTGTAAAATTTTTCTTATACTCGGTAATTTTCGATTACTTAATTTTCTACATGAAAAACAAACCAAATAAATTTTCTTTTAAGCTGGTACATAATTATGGAAATGCAGATATTTTGAATTTGTTTTACATATATGGTAAGTGTCAAAGAATTGTTTCAACATGTGCAGAAGATTGAAAATTGAAAATAATTGAAGGAAATTTCCAAAACCCGTTACACCAAGATTTTAGCATATTTCCACGCATTTCCACATGCGTCTATTTCGAACGCTAAAGATGTTTTATTCATATCTTATTCGTCCATTCAACGGATACTGAAGAAACAATATGCATAAATACAAAATAATTACATTGCAATCTCTTCTTCCTCGTGATGCACCATTATACGCAGAGTTTTGTAAGATGATGTTAGTTAGAATACAAGATTGTTTGATGATGTATAATAGAATAGACGTTACAGATTTTTTAGACAATATGCCATAGCGTTACATCGCAGATTTTTGTTATAAACTTGATGGAGCTCGTGCTCATTGCACAAATAGAGTAAGTCAAGAACTTGAAATCATGTTAGAAAACAGATGGATAAGGCCTATCTTTGGGGCGCTATTAAAGAAAGGGTGTATAAGACACCAGTTGCAACAATAGAAAATTTGGAACCCTGTGTCGGACAAGCTTTTCAACAACTAGATCCACAAGAAATTCAAAGGGCAACAGTTTCCCATGTTTTGATGTCTTGGAGTAAACGGAGGTAATTTCAAGCATAATATCTAGTTGTATGTAATTAGTAATTAGTCTTTAACATTAGTGTTGTGTATAACAGTTACCATGAATATCAAAATTTTGCAAATGTATTTCCTTCCAGTTTCACTGTAACAATTACTCTTTTGAACACGCCAATAACGGAATATGCGGCTTGTTTGTGTCAAAGGTAATTTTGTTTACCAAAAATGTCACTATGGCCGTCCAGATGAAATGTGATGTCTTGAATTCGCTTTAATCGCAATATTTTGCTTCTTTGCTTATAACTCCAAACCCAATGACGATAGATATATAACATAGTTTGCTACTTTTAGATAACAAATTAGTTGCTGATTTACGTGCCAATATAATATATGGGGTGTTCTATTTAAAATTCTCAGTCAAATTGATTTTTATATTTTTCCAATTTCCAATCAATTTTCATATTATGTTGAGATAAAGCAATTTATTAGGGAACCGCAACCAAAAATTGGAGTGTTTAGCTGTACGTGTTGCGAAAAAAAAAATTATTTTATATCGGGTTGTTTCTTGCCAAATTTCTTAAAAAGTATTTTTAATCGCCTAAAATGTTCAAGATAAGTATGTATGGTACATGTTACATAAAAAAGTTTCAGAATGTTGCGCATAATCTAAAACTGCAATAATATACCGGGAATTCCATTAAAAAACGAAAGTTGATATACGTTACGTAACCACACTACAAAATATTTTACATATTCGCCTACAGAAGTAACCAACATACCGTAAGTAATTCTGTATAAACGTCTAATAGGACACTCACCCTGTAGATTTACTTTATGGAAATGCTGGAAAATAATAAATCATAATTTTATAATAACATATCACGTGATGATTTATGAGACTGTATTGTAATCTTTTAAAGTGTTTGCTCATTGCTCCCTAAATGGATTTTACCTGTACGGTATTGTATTAAATAAATAAATAAATCACTCATTATCCCCTGTAACTTGATCTCTCAGAAGAATTACAATTGCACAATTGTAAAGCAGAGTCGCAGCTGAGGAAAAACGAAAAACTGACACATCGATGAAATTTTCAGGTGCATTGACCAAAACCAAACCCACAAAAACGAATCGAGGGAGAGTGTATCTATGAAACCGTATATTGTAGAGATCAAACGTCCCCTTTACACATGCGTTGAGGTCTAGGATAGCATGTTCTGTCAACATAAAATAGTCTAAGAGCCTCAGACCAGAGAGCTTCACTGGAAGGAGCTGAAATTTAAGCAATGACAAATTGACAACCACAATATCAAGCGAACCAGTCCTGATGCCCTTAGCGGACAACTTCAAGGTTGAATGGACACAATTCGGTCGCGAATGAACAGCTAAACTAATATGTAAGTGCCAAAGGAAGGTCATCGAGGTTCTTGTAGGTTCAACACTAAAACATTATCTCCCACATTTTAACAAGCTTTACAAACAGCACCAAACAAAATTGTTTTTTTTTATTTAAGCAAATTGTACTTCACAGCTGCGAACGGTTTTGGTCCGTTTTGACTAGATGTTGGTATGCGTCTTTTTGATAAACAAATAGATAAATAAAAAAAGTTTGTGAAAGTACTCACCTCCCGTAATCGCTGGAGGTCGTTCTGTAAAAAGGATGCTCCTGTGGTTTTTGAATTCCGTAACCGTAGAACCAGCTTGGATATTCGAACCGTTTTGGTAAGTCGCTAGTCCTGTAAAATTGGGAGGTCTCCAAGTGATGGACCGGTCTACCCTCCCGGTCCGGACAATCGACCATGGTGATATTGTTTGTTTGTTTAGTAAATTTAACCCGACGGTAGCCCAAACGTCGCACGTCTAGAATCCGGGAAATTATTGAACAAACGCATCCATGGAAACGCGAGTTTGCTATTAATGAAAACCTGTTCGAGATATTCATTCGGAAATAGTGAACAGTATGTTGAATTCTTGAAATTTACCACCGACAATGTATTGTAGTAAAAATGTAAACAATAAAATTTAATAATTGCTAAGATTGTACTGTGGAGTATGTACACATCCTTTTGTGGATGAAGATGTTGCTCCACATCCACTACATGCCCCAAAAAACTGATCCATGTTGGACTGGTGATAAGCGTTATGGTAATTTTGGGAGAGCAGATTTTGTGGGAATTTTAATGTCATTCATAGCTGAGATAGGGAAGAAGTGAAAGCAGCTGTGGCTAAGTGACTAACTGTACATTTTTAAAATCAAAAATGAAAATGATGTTATGTCTGCATATAAAATATATCTTGTTTGTAAAGAGATCATTTGATATCTGTTTATTTGCTAGTGATAATAATGTGGATTTCCCAACTTTCTTCAGCTCTTACCAATTCTAGAAAATTATGTTATTACTTCAACAACACGGTTAAAAAATAAGAAAACTTCATGCCACGATCACTTTCCCCGCTATATTTTAAAGGGTTATTGTCGTAATGTTTAATCTAGGAATAGTATTTAAAATGTCCCCAGAAAATTAAAAATAGCTACAATTGCCAAATTTTAGAATTAAGAGTAGGAAATCTCATAGATATTACAGAATTTAGAGACTTCGAAAAGCCTGGTGGCCTTGTGTCTCCTATTGCAGTCTTACTTAACAAACATAATGCTCTAAGTCCTACTTTAATAGAATTATTCCAATTCATTTACTGTTACATCTGGGGTGCCACATTTAGACCCACTATTATTTGTGTTATTTATAAATGACGTACAACCAAGCATCAACCATTCAAATATATCCACATATCTTACTGTATGCAGATGACATGAAAATATACAGAAAAATAGAGGCTGAAAATGAATGCAGGAAATTTATTAGTGTGGCCAAAAGATTATTGTTGGATGTTATTGACAAAAAGTGCAACCCCATATCATTTACATACGTAAAAAGAACACTTAAATTGGTTACATTGGCCTTGCAATGGATACGAAACTAACTTTCAATGAACATGTTATAAAAAATTGTTAATTAGAAATGCGTAAAAAATCAAATCGGGAACAACTCCGAAAATTCTTTATTCCATGCTAGTACAATCTGCAATGAAAAATTGAAAAGATTTTTTTTTATTTGCCAACTACATTCTAATAAGAGAACCGCACAGCAAAAAGCGTCATGACAAAATTACTGCATCATTCTACCATCATTAATAATTGCCTTTGACATTACAACATTGAGATCGGTATTCCAAATAAAACACATTTAGAAGCACATCTGGAACTAAATATCAGTTGAAATACTTAGTCGTGAAAAAGGTTAAATTTTACATTCAATATCAAAACAAAAAAACAGAAAAATAGTAAAAGTAAAATAGAAAAAACATTTATATGCATAATTATTTTAACTGAACGATTTCCTGCACCTCAAACTTTTAACGCATGTTGCAAGTAGCAGTAGTTAGATTTCAATTAGATTCATTTTGGTCCTGTAAGTTCAACTAAAATAAATAAAGAGAAGCATGATTTCAGCCCAAACAGCAAGGATATTGTATGCCTCAACGATGCAAAGCAAGTACTGACATATTTTTTCATTTAACAATACTTTTTCTACATTAAAGGCACCTAATCCAAACGCAAACATTTATTTTTGTTTCATCGAGGAATATTTGCACGTCAATACCTATAAGTTGTTGTTTACTTCAATGAAACGTGGTTCAATCACTAAAGAGTATCTGACGATAAAAAAATTGGATTTAAGTTGAATATTTCCATCACAGTTCCATAAAATTGTAGTCAGCGGTCGGGATCATATTCGTTCAGACCAAGATAATTCTGATGAACTTTTATTGAAGATTAAAAACAGCAACACAACCGAGATTTCGCACAAGATTTTAAAAAGATCGGGAGCCATTAATTGAATCCTAATTTGTTTTTCAGGAATGAAGCTCCAAGAGTTGTGACAGTCTTATAGATACTAGAAAAAAAAGGATAAAACGCGTCACAGATATCTGCTTCCAGAAGAAGTTTGTTATTTGTTTAATGTAAAATATCCATCGTTCAGCATGGCCATACCATACGAGCTGCCTTCGCTGTACCTCCTCAAGAATTGTTTTGTTAACCTGCGTAATCTCTCTGATTGGGCGTATCTGGAAATGTTCCAAAAAGCACCTGTTCATAAGCGTGGCATTAAGATTGATATTACAAGCTAGTGACCCATATCAACTCTTTTTACCTGGGGCTGAGGCAATTATAACAAAGGAATGATTTTGTAAATTGCGACATTAGTACGTCATGTTAGAGTAACTTGTTATAGAATAAATAATGAATAAATAAATTAAAAGTGGTGGTCCTGTCTCCATATACAATAAAAATTAAAATTGAAATTCTCTGGGTTTTATCTAGATGCGCCTTGTTCATTTTCTTTACTGACAGTAATTGTGACAATTTAGGAACTTATTTTTATATTCTTTTGCTCATAAAAAGTAATGGTTTGCTTCATGAAATTTCCAATTAAAAAACTTGGCATCTACATTTACTGTTTGCCCCACTCCGTATATTTTTTGTTTAATCATAATAACAATACACGATTTTTATTACAGATCATAGCATGACAAACATACAATACAATGAATTTGGGGCTTATTTTAGCCGGCGAATGTATAATATTTGCAGTTCGAATGATTAAGACGCGTTGATTCGAATTTTTTGACTACAAGTGAAGAAAGTTATATTTTTTTCTACCATGGTCTTAAGTTGAACTGTGTTAGTTCACAGAAGTTATCAAGCAATAAACATGGGTGAATAGCGACATAAAAGGTTAAACTTTCAGTTTGTCAGCTGTGATCCTGTTTAGTAGCTCCTTATCCTAATGAACTTCTGAACCGTAAAGGATTGTCCTATAGATATGATTTTTGTGTATCGAGGAGCAACTCGTCCAGTTTTGTGAGGATATCTCTGTAAAGAGAATGCTAATGCAAATGAACCAAAAAATAGACGTTCTGTAATCTAACTTCGGATACTTTAAAGGAACACAAACTAGCCTCCAGAATTCCAATGAGTTTCTTTTGAATAAGATCGATGATATTAATAGAAAATTTATAAAAACAGAGGAAATAGTCAAGGACATCTCAAAAATCGATTTAAAAGTCATAGATTGCACTAAACAAGTCGCAGAGTTAAAATCTATTTTTAATGCCGTCTGGGTATAGTGTCCCAGAAAAATAATGTGGTACTTTACCTTTGGTGATGAAACTCGATTTTTAAAGCTGTCAATAGGCAAGAGGATACATTCCGGTCATATAAAAGAGTTGTCCACATTAATCCGGAAAATAGATCTCCGCGTTCGGTGATTAGGATATTGTCATTTCTGCTTGCTGAAAAAAGGAAGGCCTAAAATTAAATGAAACTGGAATGTCCCAGAGAGATACAGCTTTATACATCAATGACTATTGACCTCCGCAGATTAAATTGTTGCTTAAGAATATCCGAGATTTTTGCAAGACTAGTCTAGGCGCCAAGTGCTGGAAGTAGCATAGTAGTGCCGGTTCTGTCACTTTTGGCGGCAAAAATTAGAATTTTCGTGAATATCCGTGTGTGTTCGGATATGTTCGGGTATGTTCGGGCATGTTCATATATGTATGGGTATATTCGATTGTGTTCGGGTGTGTTCGGATATGTTCGGGTATGTTCGAGTATGTTCGGCTGTGTTCGGATATGTTCGGGTATGTTCGGGTGTGTTTCAGGACTTTTGTGTAATGGAAGATGGTAACATATTGAAAATGTCTAATTGGTTGAAACTAGTCTTTCGTCTCTGTCCCGTCATATTAGATAATCGATTGCTTACGTCATGCTTACACATTCACATATGGAAATATCAACGTCGATTTGCATTTCCCCCTCCTCTCAATTTGTTGGCATGGCGAATCAACATTTGCAATTCTAGGCCAATCAGTTTTTAAAACGTTGGGCAGGAAAGTTTCTTTAATATCACTTTTAACATAAATAATATTCACTTCTTCATCAACAACACTCATCTGTGGTATATGCTGGACTTCTTCCTGTTCACCTTTTTCATAACTATATCGCAGATGATGATGATGAAGCTTCTCCAAATATTCTATTTGTTTTCTGTAACACTTTTTCAAATCGTTGAAATGTTTAAAGAGTTTGAAAAGATAATGTTTCAGTTCGTTAGCACGCACTATTGTTAATTCTTTGACAATAAATACTCTGCAAATCTACACAACACAATTTCATTCTAACTCTGTCTGAAGTCAATTAGAACTGCAATAAATAATTCTAGGCTCATATATTATCTAAGGCACATTTTGTTTATGTATACAACTGTTGTGAGCATTACTGCAAACCAACGTAATGTTTGTTACCATTTTTTCTCAATACTTTTTCAACTAAATATACCCCAGGATGTTTTACTTTCTGTATTTCAAATTCATAAAAACCGCCTGAAGTATCTTCACCTTTGTCATCATGCAGCAAATATGTTGTTGGATTTGCAAGCTTCACAAATGATTGTAATATAGACATTAATAACAAAATCACAATAAGGAAAATATAATCCGAAAACATACTTAAAAAATAGTCATTTATCTATGTCATTTATGATACGAATTTGATAAAGTTTTTTTTTGTCACAAATAATGGCTCTTAAAATTAAATACCAGAATGTAGGTGAGATGGGGACAAAACTGTAAAAATTTTATTTATCTACTTTAAGTGATCGAGTGGATATTCCGATTCTGAATTTATTGACACTGACTGTTATGAAGTTTATTGGTTGGATCGAAACTTGCGATTATCAAACAAGAGAGATGGTGGAGGCATTTTATAGATGAGGCGAAAAAAATTGACTCGGTGGACCATTTTAATTGGGACTGCGATGGAATTTGCCAAGTTCTATAGATGGAAATAAAAGTTGCATCGTATATACCCATCTTGATATGTTGCATTTACGTACCTCCTGAAGCAAGTGTTGAAAATCTCACTGCGCAAGTAAATAAAGTGTCTAGGATTATGCAAGTGGGTTTTACAAAATAGTGTGTTATTGTGGGGGATTATAATGCATCAATAATAATGTGGGTATCTGACTGCATAGAGAGTTGTTATGTACCCTCAGATATATCTGGTTCATGCTGTTCATACTGATAGATTCTTTAAATTTGATTAATTTTGATCAACTTACTGGCGTATCCAATGACAATGTTGGTTTCTTGGACTTTGTCTTTAGTAACTTTAAAAATGTCACTGTGACAAGGTCTCCGAATCCTTTCGTGAGGGAAAGAGTCACTCAACAACAAACACTAAAATCCTTTAAGACAAAAACGAATTTTGAAGAACCTAAATATAGATATGTCAATTATGATGTAATAAGTAGCGACATAAAAGCTTAAACAGTGTCGTGATATCTTTTAGAAGATGGTGTGCAAAATTTTTACAAATAATGTTCACAAGAAATAAACTAACAAGTATCCGATATGCTATGTCTCAAGCACTGAAAAAAGCAGAAGTGTAATCTACACCAAAGATATAAAAGATACCACATTCCTAGTGATTATGTCACTTTTTCTGAACTACGGAAGAGAGTTTGGCCATCATAAGTGTGGATTATAAAAATTACGTCAAAAATACAGAGAACAATTTTAAAAATAAGGCAAAAAAGTCATTTTGGGGTTTAGTAGGCATTAGGAGGAAAGCAGTAACGTGCCAAAATCTCTAATGTACCAGAACAGCACTTACAATACGGACGCGAATATGTGTGTGGCGTTTTCGGTTTTTTTTCTAGTGTTTAGGAGGCAGAAACAACTCCAACCAAAACTAGATAAAAATGAAGGCCCTAGGCCAGACAAAATGAACCCGGTCTTTCTTAACCCGTTATTGGCCGAATTTTGAGAATTGAAAATGCCTGTTATGCCCGAGTTTTGCAAATCTTTTGAAAAATAAAATTTTTGAAAAAATTGTTTTTTGCCTTTTCAAGTGTTTTTCCTATAAAAAAAATTGATGTTCCAATTTTGGAACACCGGGAATGAATGGGTACAGTAAAACCAAAACAAATATTAAATAAATCATTTTAATTAAATTCAAAAAAACATGTAACTAAGCATCAGGAACATGAGAAGTTTTAAAACAAGCGTCATGTAAGTTGATATCACACTTCTCACACATTTTAGTTGAGTTTTTATGGCAAAGGGCGCACCTTTTCTGTTTTTTAGCTGGAATAATCCGAACTGACAGTTAAAACTGGACCATTGTCATTCCATAGTGTTACCGTTATTTGGCTATTTATATCTGTGCAAAAATCAAGGCTACCCCGTTGGCATTTTTTCAGTTGCAGCAAGTTATCACGCAAAGGACAATTCTCCAACCTGTTTGCGTTAATTTTTCCCGTATATCCTATTCCCTTTCTTTTTAGGAAATCTACCAATTTCAGAAATGAAAAATATCTGTCGCCATATTTTTTGAAAGGTAGATTTTTTGGTAGATTTTCTAAAAGAGTCGTTACCGCAGATCCTCCTATGCCTAGTTCCATGTATCGCCTTCTGGCTTGTTTCCCTTGATATGGAAGAAATTGAATTAGGTATCCAGATTTTTCACACAATGACCATATCTTGTAACCGTACCTAATGGGTTTTCCTTTTGTATATTGTTTTGTCCCGTGCCTTCCAAAGGGACCATACTTTCATCGACACAAAATTCCTCGTTGACAGGAGCATGGGATAAATATCTTTCATTTAGCATATTGAAAAGTGGTTGTAACTTGGCAAATTTATTATTCGGCTCTATATTATTATTATCAGCACAATGTGTAAATTTTTTCATAGTCTCAAATCTATTCCTGCGCATTGCGTTAGCTACTAATGGATTGTATGTATCAGTATCAACTTCCCAAAGCATACGCCATCTTGGAATTTGTAAATGACCTGATAAATATAAAATTGGAATGAAACATGTAATTTCTCCTCTATCAGTACTAAAATGACTATCGCCTTTTTGCCTAGCCTAGCATAGCATACAATTCAAACATTTCTACCAATTAAGTAGATATTTGTTCATCAAAAAATGATCCCAAAACAGGCAATAGCCTCTGAAAAATTGATATGTGTATCGGGTTCTATGGCAGAAACAAAATCGGGAGAGGAGGGACTGAATTCAATTTTTTTCCAAGATCTCTCTAAATTTGACTCCATTGTATTCATATTATTTCGTGTAATTAGCCGTGCTAAAGGTATATTTTCGCTATCATCACTTTCATTTCCGTCAGATAGTTCGGGAGAACGCTCGGGAGAACGAAATTCATAATTTGCAATACCTGAGGTTCCTGCCTGTTGAATGATTGAAAAGCTGTCGTTATTTTCCTCTAGTTCATAATCTCCAACGGAAACTACTCCATTGATATTTTTTATTGTTGCCCAAGCATCTGATTGTATTTGACGTCCACTAAGGTGATTTACATAGGCAGTAGGGGACTCATCATCATCATCGTCTTCTTCTGATTCTAATCCGTCATTTCGGGGAGTAATAAACACATCTGCTTGCCAAAAATCCTCAGTTTAAACCAAATCAATTAGTTCATGAGTCATATAATACTTCAAATAAAAATTAAAAATGACGTACCCATTTGGGCCCGGTGTTCCAATATATGAACAAATCAAATATGTCAAAATAATCTAGTGAATTTTTATTATATATTCAAAAGCATGAAAAAAGTGTTAAACCATATTGCATGCAAGCCTTTTTTCAAATATAATAATTTTCATACGAATATTACAACAATTATACTTACTTTTTTGATGTCATATTGAGAGATTCCAAAAAAATATACAAAATTGCGAAAAAAACGGAGTAAATGTCACACTGATGCACAGTGCAGCGGTTCTTACGCTGGCTACAACGCTACTAAATCGATTGAGTCGGCGCAGCGGCCTCCCCGAAGGCGCCATTTGAACGGGTGGGGGGAAAACGTAGTTGTTCCAATATTGGAACACCAGGTCAATATTAACATTTCCAATATTGGAACATCGGGAAAAAACAGGTTAAATCTTTTAGGGAATCTCTGCTGCTGTAGCTATTTTAAAAATAAAATTTCATTACAAGGGTACTTCCCGACTATTTGGAAATGTGTTTATGAGTGTGGCAGTAAGATTGATATAATCTTTCTATTCCAGGTCAAATGCTTGAGACAATTATAACAGAGGAGTTATTTTTTAAACTTAAGTACGTTCTTGGTGAAACGCAACATGGCTTTTTTAGGAGTAGGTCTGTCGCTACTAATCTCTCAGATTATAGAATGCAATTTGTCCAGGGCATTCAATAAAGTACATCATCCCGCAATGTTAGTTACAACACTCTTCAATCATACATTAGTTTTAGGACACAGTTTGTTGAGTTAAATGGAACTAAATCTAAATCTATTGATATCATATCTGGCATACGTCAGAGATCGCGCTTGGTACCTATTCTGTTTTCTTTGTTCATAGCGGACGCTGGTAAATGTTTTCAAATATTATTTCATTTACTGATGACTAAAAGGTGTATGCACCTGTCAGAAGCATCGACGACTGTCGCAAGTTTCAGGAGGATCTTGATAGGTTTTGTGACTACTGGTTAGGAAATGGACTGTTTTTTAATATTGACAAATGTTACTGATATAGCTTTTGATTATAAATTCAATGGAGGAAAGATAAACAAATAAAGCATATCCGGGTTCTTGGAGTAACTGTAGACACAAAAGTGAGATTTGAAATTCTTATTGAAAACAGTGAAAAAGGTTTGCAGAAATTTGTTTTTTATTAAAAAATGTTAGCAAAGTATTTAAACATCCCAAGTCACTGGTCGTACTCTCTAACGCCTAAGTGCAGTTCCATTTGAGTTTGCCAGTGTGATATGGACTCCCCAATACCAAAATTGAAAGCATCCAGAAAAAGTTTATTTTTATCATGAACTTTAGATATAACCACAATCCAAAAGATGTATCATATGAAGCAAGCCTTGACTTCTATTATATGTTGAAATTATCTGTTAAGCGAATAATATATAGTGGCATTTTTTTGCACAATATTGTTAATAATAAACACACAACGGTTGGAAAAATTATTCCTTAATGGTGGTAATCAATAGGACGCCTGCTTTGTTCTATGCGCCCAAATATAGCACAAATTCATTTAGGGATGAAACATGTTACGTTTGAAATTTGAGACACCCGGTAAACTCATGTTGATGGCAAAATACGAAAGCGTGGAAAAAAAGGAACGACGCACCGAGAGAAAAAAAGGCAGCGCGATAAGCCGTGACCGCGGTGATCGCTCTTAAATTTTGCACGAGTCATAACTAGGTTGCTTAGTGAACAGAAAAGTTATTCGGACGTTTTACGGATTTTTCACTTTGCATCCCGCTTTGGCGACTTTTGTGGTACTCTGGTTGTTTTGAGAAGTTCCAAAGCTTATCTTGAATAGATATTGGGTTTTGTAGAGAAACGTCTCGTGTTTTGGGTTTGTTTTTTGTGCTGATACGAGGTAAGTTCTCTTTTTATTGTGTGCGTAGTTCTTGGTAGTTGTTCTGATCGTTTTTTTTGGACAATTTATTTTAACTCATTTATAAAGAAAAAAAAAAGGTCAATTTCCTTTACAGTAAAAGCATAATGATTTACTTTCAAAATTTAAACTCTTGAGATAAATAAGATAAATTACTTGAAATCAAAAACCAATAAAAAATAAAATTGTAGTTGTAGAATCTTTATCAATTCGTATCACTTCTTGATTTTTTTTTCTTTTCCATTCTTAGGCGTTTTTATTTTTTTTTGGCAATTTGCTTTTTGTGGTCCCGGACGGATACGAGAAACAGAAGGTTGCTATTTATCCGGAAAAGGCCATGTATTGGTTGATATTATAATAGTACGCCTAGAACATCCGGAAAATTGGGAAGAGCAAACGCCTTAGTTTCGGGAATCTTCGGAATTAACCTGAGAGTTCTACACCGACGCCCGTACTCCAGATAAGTACCACGTAGTGGAATTTGTTTTTTTATTTTCGCATACACGTAAAAGGAAATAAAACGATTCGACAAAAAGGACTGGTGTAGTGCCCAACTTAAGTTTTATTGCGAATTCTATAATTTTGTTTGTACATCTAAGATATTACCTGAACGATGAGTTGAAAAGAGGTTATTGACGGTTCCTTTTTTTTGTCGTTAAGGGGTTACCCTCTTTTTATACTCGTCTATACTCTCGAGAGATTATTTACGCTGTAGGAAAATAAAACGTGTAAAGTTGTTTAATGTAATTACATATTGCGATCTTGTATACCGATCCCAGTGCGGCGGATAACTCTTCCCCCCATTTCGACATTAAATCGAATAACTGAATGTCATGGAGTGTTTTTGTTCCTTTTTTTTGTAATAACCGTAGCTAATGTCACCAGTGCGAATTAGGTTTGGTGATGTCAGTGTTTTTAGGGGTATATAAGTAAACAAATCACCTGGCGCCCTATAAAAAAAAATACTCTTTATAAGTTGGTACTTAAATCGTGAATTTACCCACTCCCGCTCCGGCTGTAGCTGAGCGGCGCATACCTCTCAAATGTTACCTGGATGGTGATACGGCCACGGGAAAAAAAAAAAAAGAATAGGCAAATAGGAACAATATTTCTCGTTATAGGTAACAAACAATAAGAGTGTTTCGCTAGGACTAAATTAAATTTGTTTCTACATTCTTTCTTGTTTTTCTTTTTTTTTTGGGTTTAAAAATAGTTTTGTTTACGCTTTTGAATTAAAATAAATGTAATTAGTTTTAGTGTACCTTTGTAAATTGTCACGTTAGTTAGTTGTTATAATAAATAAATAAATAACCAAAAGAAGACAGCTGCTTGCCAGTTGTCGCGAGCGTACCGAAACTCGCTCGAAAAGCAGATTAGATCGAATCTAGAACGTAAATTGAAGTTGTAAAAGTAACGCAGCGAAATACAATGCCACAATAAAGGGAAAACAATCGGCGATGCGAGAACGCCGACGGAAATTTTAATTATTTCCGACGCTTTTAAATACGTCGAATCCAATTAACTGATCGTATCAAGTTTCAATTAACAACCCTAACTACAATGGGATTCCTGGAATATTTTAAATGCGCGGCGTTGCGAGCGTAGTGAAGAATCGGGTGGGTTACATTTCGTTTTGTAGGAAAATAAGGGCGGTGTTCCGGCCTACAGGTTTTGGTTAGGCCCGATTGATTTTACTAATTTTTATAATCGACTGGCACTGGCATCATCATAAAATTAAATAGAATAATAATAAATGTCAATAACCCAAATAGCACAAGGACGTCCGTAAAACGGCATCGGAATATCTGACGGGACATAGCGTATATCATATATGGAACGTCCACAGTACCACAGATACCGTAGCATGTTAGTAAGGACGTACTATAGATATCCAACGTTTGCTTGAAGGTGGTAGACACTGATTCAGTAGAAATACTAAAATGATGTCGAACTTCCATTGTCTTTATTTTTAACGTACACAACGTTTCGGACAGTTGTATCACTACCCCTTATCAAGTGCAAACTAAAGTTAATTCTAAGGCTACAAGGTTTATATACTAGGCGACGGCGCTCATCCATGACGGAGACGTGTGTAGTCAAGTGAAGTTGTTCAACTAGAACGCCAACATTGGTGCGCCTTATTAGAGGTTGCCAAATTGTTGGTATATCCACGCTTGGATTGCTGAAGATGTTTTCATTGTTTCTAATGAAAACTGCTTCTTTAAATTTGCGCTTTCTCCAATGCTGCTCTCTGTGAACAACCCGCGTTCTAGACTATTGGTGTTGAGTTATTTGGTCCACACATGTTCTGCGATACCTGATTTTTGTGTTTCGCACTTCATTGTATGTTTCTTATGTTCTTCAACTCTTATTTTTAGAGGTCGTTTGGTTTCGCCAATATATGATTCTCCGCCTTCACACTTCTTAATGTTGATCCAGATTTAAATACAGTTTTAACTTGATATTGTTTAGCTATTCGCCTAATCTTTTCTGATATTTCTTTCACATGTGGGATCGTCAAGAGAGAAAGAGTATTTACCTCACATGGTTTCGGTGTTGTTTCCCGCATACAGTTTGAATTTTGAATTGAATTCAATTGAATTATATTAAAAATGATTTGCTTCAGAACGGCTACTCCGAAAAATCCATAAACAAAATAATAACAAACTGTAAGCGGGAAACAACACCTGAACCATGTGATGATTCCATACGTGAAAGGAATATCAGAAAAGATTAGGCGAATAACTAAACAATATCAAGTTAAAACTGTATTTAAATCTGGATCAACATTAAGAAGCGTACTCACAAAAAGAAAGTCTGAAACGTCGACTCAAGAGAAAGAGTGTATCTATCCGATACTCTGTGAATGCGGAATGTCATATATTGGCGAAACCAAACGACCTCTAAAAATAAGAGTTGAAGAACATAAAAAACATACAATGAACGGTGAAACGCAATCGCAAATCGCAGAACATGTGTGGACCAAACAACACAACATCCAATGGTCCAGAGCACGGGTTGTTCACAGAGAGCAACATTTTCATTAGAAACAATGAAAACATCTTCAGCAATATGAGCGTGGATATACCAGCAATTTGGCAACCTCTAATAAGGCGCAACAATGTTGACGTTCTAGTTGAACAACTTCGCTTGACTACGTCGCCTAGTATATAAACCTTGTAGCCTTGGAATTAACTTTAGTTTACACTTGATAACGGGTAGTGATAAAACTGTCCGAAACGTTGTGTAAGTTAAAAATAAAGACAATGGAAGTTCGACATCCTTTTAGTAATTCTAAGGATATCCAGTTATCCTAGTTGTGATGTCGTTAGTATATTCGACTGTGAGGATATAGG